TACTCACTACCATAACCACCAACCAAAGGAATCATCATCAGTAGTAGAAAGCGAAAAGCCACCAACCAAACACATTTCAGATTTCATGAAAAATATTAATGAAGCCGAAGTGAAACAGTGAGATTTTCGTCTACCAAAGCGTGGAAGAAGAAGAAGAAAGACTTACTACTAACTGCACTAGACGGGAATAGCGTCTACGTTTGATGAATCTTCGCATCTCAATACTATCCCTTCAAGACTTGCAGGGAATGTGCACTTACTCCATTGCCAACCAGCAGCTAATGGCTCTGTCATTGGGACTATCATTAGCACGTTTTCGTTTCTCTGCACCACTCCTATCACACTCACTGTGCTTCCTTCTTTGATGTACCTGCAAAATGAAACAAGTATCACACAGACCAACAGAATTTTTTAGCAACTCTTTTTTAAGGTTTTTCATCACCTTTTCTACAAGTTGAGTTTTCATACCCTTCTTTAAGCCGCATAACTCGCTCATCATTGGATAGATTCTTCTGACCCAACCACCTTACGAAATCTGGGGAAGCTTGTTCGCTTCCTGGCTTAAAATCGATGACAACAGAATCATCAACGAGAGGTGTTACCTTTGCACCACTTCCGGTTTTGACCAAAGCTCTGAGCCCAGATTGGAAATCAGAAATGTAGAAGTCTACCACATGCCTCTGCCATGCATTGCAAGTGCAAAAGCTTTATGCATTTAGAGACATTTCACATTGGAAGACAAACATTTTTCTGTGAAATGATATATCATCAGAGGGTATTACTAACCTCTGCTGATCTCAGACCCCATGTGAAACGACGATGTGAAGCATTAGCTGGCTTCGAACCCCATCCACGATACTCATATAGACACGTTGATGTGTAAACACATCTGGGAACTCTATGGAAGGATGACTCAAGCGGCACGTTACCACAGGTGACCACCTTTTCAACAAACAAAATATAAGAACCAATGCTATAGACATAGAAGAGATGGAGTTTCCAAGCAAGGAAAAACAAACCACATTTTGTCATTTCCCACGAGCAATTCAGCCGCAGAGAGTAAATGAACAAAATCAGTACTTTCTGGGAGCGATGCTTAGATACTTACCCCAGTGACCTTCACGTATTGCCCGTTTTTGGCAGTTCTAAGATCAGCATCAGGATAACGAGCAACGAAATCTGTGATTCCGCGTTTTTCACAAGAAATATTCCAAATGAAAAGTGCAGCAACAACTGTGAACAAGACCGCCACAACAATGAGGAGAATTGCATTGTGAACTGCCCCAAGAATGAAGCCTCCAGCAAGGAACCCCATTACAAATATAAGTATAACCAGCCACAGTACAGGCTTGGGGAAGCTCTTCATGCAGGAAAAGTCATCTTCTGGACCAAGGGTAGTTACAGCCTGGTTGTGGACAACGGAATTCGTATGTGTCTTCATCGAACCAGAATAGTCAAGAGGACCAGAAATCTTCCTAGGGCCCCCGGATGAATTCAGAGGCCCCGAAGTGATTGGCCCAGACGTTATGAGACCTGTAGTTGGGAGCATAGGAATAGGGCCGGAATTTTGCCGTGTTACATTACCAGATTGCGGACCAGAGGATTTCTTTAAAGGCTCTCCGTGCTTAGACAAAGGCCCAGAGTTTGTTTTCTTCATCGAATTCGACCCAGCAGAAGCTAAAGAGCCAGACATACGGCCAGTGGCGTTAGGCACACCTGGACCTGACTGCGCCCCGCTTCTTGAAGAACCTCCAGTTATTGGGCCAGACTTCCTTGATTTGGTTCCATCTGTCGGAATATCAAACATCTTCCCCAATTCACCAGATTTCTTGATATCACCACCGGTGTATGGCACGGCTACTGAACTCATTGTTGGAGCCTTTTCTTTTGGTTGCTCAGGCCTTCCGGACACAAATAACCCATTGCTGAGCTGGTGAGATGCATATCTCGAACCCATTTGATTTCTTCACGGAAATCCAAACTGCCTATAGATAGACGAGCACCACAAACAATGTGCTGAAACGTGAGGATTTCCAAATTCCTGCAGGAACAAAATAGGAACCCATGAGAAATGGGCAAGATATACACAGAACTAAACATAAACCAGATTTTGAGGGTTTCCGATTTACAGGTCTAGCTATCACTTTCATTGAAGCTCTCAGTTTATCTAACAGATCCAGAATCACTGAGATTTTGGGAAATTCTAATATAGCAATATCACTTAACATAGATCGAGTATCCAATGTCCCAGAACCTAGAAAACAAAATTAGAAACCCTAATCACGATTTCCAATAGTGCGATCCCTTGAAAACTAGAGACCATTCACGACAACACACAGTAAGATCTCTAGTAATGTAAAATCAGTTTCAAAATCTCAAATCAATAAAGTAGAAATCGAAACTCAGATCGACATGTCTAGCAAAACCTAGAAGAGATTGAAAACTAAATCCCCCAGAAATGGACTAAATGATCACAGACGAACAAAAACCCCAATCTGAGAAAGTCGATTCTCACCTGAGAAAATGTTTAAGTTTCCCGAGAAAGAAAGAAAAAAAAACTATCAAGGAAAATAGTTGTAGTTGTGGGAGTGACAGTAGAAGACGAAACGGAAGCTAAACTTGAGTAGCCGAGATCCCATATCCGTAGCTATCTTCACCGTCGTGTAGATCCCGATCTCGATCTCTATGAGCTGCAACAGTTGGTGCGTTG